TTTCCTTCAGGTGAACACGTCCAGGAATCCAGTATCCGCAGCCGCCGCAGTAGTACTGCTGTACTGCTGTGTAGTAGTAGCAGGAAATCCAGGTTGTACCCATCCGTTGTCCAAACAAAGATTTGTGATTCCGTGAGAGAAGGAGATACCACCGCCGTCGAAGGGTCGAAGGCACTGTCTGCCAGGTGTAGGCTGTGAGATGGATGGAGCCACCTATGTGTTCTTAGCCTGCCCGCCCGTGAGGGTCGTGACGAGGCCGCTGCGTTCGTTCCATGGCTGATCTCTGAAAATACGTCTCTGTCGGATAGTAAGTTGTGACGGGGTGTGGGGGAAGTTGAACGAGTGTGTGTGTGTGTGCTTTTGTTATTAGCATCGACCGCGCTAACTGGCTGACCAATGAAAAGACGTCAGTCTCAGTGCGGCGGGAAACACAAAATGTTTCTATAGTCCACTATCTGGGACGTGTGTGTGTGTGTGTGTTTTGCTTTCTAGGGCGATAGCGATGTTTACGTCACTGTTTCTCGCATGTCCAATGTCGGGTTTGTGTCCGTCTGTCATTTGGTGCTTGAAACGTTGTGCTTTGCTCTGCGCTCCCTCGTGACACGGTTTCACGGTCTCGCCCACTTGGCGCACCCCCTACTTGTACCTCTGTACCGAAACCCTTGATCCCTCTCCCACCCTCCTCCCGTTACAGATGACCAGGTAGGAGTCCTACCCTCCCCTACTAGCTACAATGGTCAATACGGCATGCACGANCTCACACTCCTGCTGTACAGCACGACTACTACTCCTGTTCGCCACCCTTGGACATACCCCCGCCCTTATTCCGCCCTCCTCGGTGTTTGCCATCGGGGTTGGGTTTTCGTCGCTTGGCAACGACGTTGTAAAACAAGCCGCCGCCCCCCGGTGTTTGCCATCGGGATTGGGTTTTCGTCGCTTGGCAACGACGTCGTAAAACAAGCTCATTCACTTCGTGAGCTCGGCAACCAGGCTACCGTTTCTTTTTTGGCGGTAACCGTAATGGTGGTCGAGTGGATCATGCTGTGCGGGGTGGAGAACCCTCACTCCGCGCAAGGGGGATGATCGCACCACGTTGTGTTAAAATGGTCAAGCACCCTCGAGACAGTTACACAGTGCTTACAACTGTCTCTTGAAGTGAACACACCAGATAACAAATTATGTCTTACGCAGCTGTCATCCGTACGCAAGGAAGTAAGCACGAGATGCCCAACACCATTAGCAGGATGCAACGCACCCTTCATGCGACCCGTCGAATATCTCACGGCGCTTCGCGCTTGGTGATGTGAGAGCCTGGTCCGGTGAGAACCCGGCGTGCTCCGTCCCGGCTTTGTAGGGATNCCCCCCCCCCCCCTCCCCTTCGACTTCCCGAAAACAAAGGAGTAATGTTGCCCCTTCCCGCCTACGCAAATCTTTCGATGCCTCCATGCTATCGTACGCAGCTGTTGTTGCACCTGCCGTACGAACAGGCCGCTCTCGAAGCCCCCGCTCTGGCCCACCGCCTCGCCCTGTCGAACTCCGTGTGTGCGAGAGGCGCGTGCTGCGCTTTGGTGGCCCAGACGTACAGCGTTCCTCCGTTGCCAAGGCAGCTCCAGTTCAGGGTGAGTTGGGACAGCAGGCAGGAGACAAAATCGTTTTTTTGCTTTTAGTCTTTGTGCAGCCTCCTTCGCCCCCCCCCTATCCCTTTCTCGCTGTCTCCTTTTTTTTATGCTGTGGCCATGTTTTCCGTCTTATTCGTTTCTGCTTGTCTGCCTCGTATCCTTTGCTGTTGCTTATTATGTTTTCGTGACCAGTTCGTCCCTTCGTCCTATTTTCTGTTGGGACATTGGCTTCGTACCAATTATTGCTTGATTATAACCCTGCAGCGAACAAAGCGACTTACCACAAAAATGGTAGCACGGGAACCGTCGTCGAGAGAGCTTTCCGAAAACGTGCAAGTTTGATTGTGACTACCCTTTCGTCGTTGAGCAATCGAGCTCTCAACATCGACCCATGCGTAAATCTCAGTCGAAAGGGGTGTGTTATCCTACGTGCTGCTTTCCCGCAGGGCATTTTGAGCCGGCTTTTGCACGACCGAACTCCCGGGGTCCGGGGAGAGGCGGTGAAGGCTCTCGCGCTCGTTGCGGCGGTGGCGGACGCGTCTGCCGTACGGTGGCTCTTGCTCCTCGGAGAGGTACGCCTTAGTCTTTCCGGGCTGCTTTGCATGTGCGTCATCGCATTGTTCCCGTCATTTTTGCACCAGTAGACAGTCACCGAGCCATGGTTGTGTATTTTTCGAAGATCGGAAGGGCGTGGATCGTTTCCGCTCTCGATTAGTTGTCCATGCGTCCTGTCTCTGCTAGTTGTTGAGCGCATCCCTCTCCCAAGTCTGTTTTTTTCGTGTGTCGTGCTGCCAATTGCAAGTACTCCAATTGTTGCCGGCTATTCACTCTTACAACTCCCGTCCTTTGTGTCCTGGTCATGTGCCTCGTTTTTCAGCGAGCCTCGTTGGACATCGACCTTTCCGTGCGGAGGGCAAGCGTGGACAGCCTCCTGCAGATCGGGCACCACCTTGTAGGAGGTGAGGACGCGAGGAGTTCAGGCGCGTTCTCTCTCTCTCTCTCTATCTCTCTCTCTCTCTCTCTCTCTCTCTCTAGCTCTCTCTCTCTCTCTCTCTCTGTCTGTCTCTCTCTCTCTCTCTCTCATTGGCTTCGTTTTTTTTGTTCTAGAAAGGTGTACCCCCCCTTGGGGGCAGCTGGCTTGTAACCACGGAAGGCGTCCGCGTCAGTTGGACCGATACTGAGCGGAGACCGGAACGGTTTTTGATGTGAAGAAAACAACAACTCCAAATCAGCGCTGACATTACTTGTACCGTCTGCTCCAACCCAATCTCATGTACAGTGTAGGCGTTTTTTTTCGTTTGGAGGCCCACAAGGGCGGTACTGCATCCATCACTCGGGATTTTCAGGCCCCTCCGCCCAAAGGAACTCCTTGGTGGTGTACGGACATGAGAAGCTGGCTTTTCCATACTTCGGTGGCGTTGAGCACCTGGATTTTTTTTTTCTCCCATCATTGGATTCTGTCGTCTGCTACTCTGGTCCCTATCCTCCACTTCTACTAGCTAGACTACCCAACCGGGGTCACACAGGAGAACGTGGTACGTTCGTTGTTTCGCGCTCTGAAGCAGTACTTCTGAACCGTGGAGACAAGCTCACTCCGCTTACTTTTTTTTGTGCCTAGAGGTCGGTCGGTGCGATAAAAAGAGCGGGTGTCCCACCCACTGTATCTTCTTTTTTTTTTTCCGGTCGGTGGACTGGTGATCGCTGCTGCTGTGCCTGACGTGTGCAGTGCTTGGCGAGACCACCCCGAGGCAGCCGCGGCAGCAACAGCAGCAAGAAGACCAGGAGTCGGCCGATGGACAACAACACGACGCCGGTGGCGTGTCGACCTCTTCGGCCTCAAGCGCCAGGAAGGGGAGGGAGGGGCACGCCCTCAGGTGCAAGGTTATGCCGATTCTCGTCAGGCTTGCGGGGGACAACGACTGGCAGGTGCGCCCTTTCTCCCCATCTATTATCTCCTCTTTCTATGTGTTTTGTGTGTGTGTGTGTCTCTCTCCCTTTCTATCTCCGTGTAGAAAAAACAATGCAGAAATATATTTGTTTTTATTGTGCTGTCCGCAACAGCAACCGTTCCGGTCTCACGTCAGTACCCTTTCAACATACCAGTCCAACTGGCATGGACGCGTTTTTTTTTTTTATAACTTCAGCTTTGTTCTTTCTTGCTCGAGTTTTTTTCTTGCGCCCCAGTTTTGGTACCTGTCTCCTCCTGTCGCCCGAAACTAATGTCACAACGACCCAACCGAGTAAATGCACCTGCGCGAACTCCCACCCCTCCCTCCCTCCCCCTCCTCCGAAGGTTCGGGTGGAGATCGCCTGCAGGCTGGACTCGCTGTGCGTGGCGCTGGGCGAGCAGTGGTCGGTGGTCACCACTGAGATACTCCCGGCCCTGATCGCGGACACTGATCCCGACGTCCGCTGCGAGGTGAGGAGGAGGTGTTGGTCGTCATCGTGCCGCCGCTGTGTCGTTGTGGAGAGATAGATGCCTTGTAGATGGACGGATGGCCGTCAGTCAAAGCCTTTTGGGGCGCACAAGCACCAGCCCCGGTCACGCAGCTATTTTTTTTCTCTTGGTATTTGCCGCTTGCAGTGTCTGTCCCGTTGGTTGCGAGCGTACCCAGTCTGGTTACGAATATCCGGCGTCGGGGCGTGGTGTTACCGTGAGGGTTCTGTGCTGCGTCCTTCCAATCTGTAAATGCGTCTTCTCCGTGCCTTCCCCCTGCTCGCCCCTCCC